ACACGCCAAAATGCGTGTCTGATACGTGTCCGGGCGTATCCGTGTCGGACACGTGTCCGACACGGATACTTCGCCCAAAAATGTGTGTCTGTATTTCCTAGTCTAGAGCTGACAGTACATGAGAAATTGATTGCCAAATTAGGCTCCATTCTTGAGCTTCCTCACACTACTCATGTGAAGGCTTGCAAGTAGTGTATGTTTCATGAATGGAAGGCAATGTTCATGATAATGTCGTATGAAAATATTTGAATATGGCTAAAAGTGTAGACGCCTTTGTATTTACTTCTCTATCATTTCGAACTTATCATGAAGTCGTAGAACAGTAAATATGTAACAGGATCAAGTGTCCTTAGATATTGAACTTATTTTAGAATACGTGTAAATTCAGTATATATCATAAATCACAATATAAAATTCATATATTTTGTAATTTTGTGAAATAATGAGAATAAAAAAAATACACTACATATATGTTAATATAGTTTTTCTCTAAATGGATTCAATCAAACTTTCATCCGATAATGTATCCTTCTTTTTAACTCAAAATATGTGTGTGTGTGTCGATACTTTTTAATGCACTACAGCATAGATATACGTTTCTAATTCACTACCAAGCAAATTTTCAAATACAATGGAAACACAGAATACAACCACTAAGTTCTCACATCTTGTTTTTTGGATCGCCAACCAAATCAACCCTAAATTTGAAATTTATTAAACTAATTGAAAGCCACTGCAACACACAAAGCGAACCCACAGAAACTCAATTGATGTTATAATTTGCAACCAGACACAATAAATTAAAGCAATCCTAAAAGAAGTAGAGCATTTCTCATACCTTGGAGGGATCGACCTTCTGAAATTTCTTGACAACGGAAACGACCCGCTCGGTGACTTCCGATTTGTCGAGAAAAGAACCCCTCACCTCCTCGGAGAAGAGACGGCGTCGAATCGCATTGAAGGGGTGGGAGTAGAGAATGGGACTGTTGGTCTTCGGCAGGGCCTGTACATGAACCCTAAGATACTTCAGTAGAGAATTTCTCGCCGCCATTGGAAGTGAAAAAATGCACCTTCAGAAGCTCGAAGAAATGGCTACTCGTAGGGGAAGTTATGGGGTTTTTGACGGCCCAAATAAGGGGAGGAACCTAGTATGGGGATTTTATTTTAAAATATGTTTAATACCATTTTCGTCCTTTAGATTGGTTTATCTCAATTAATTTGGATCAATCTTCATTTTAATTTTTATAATTTTAAATTGGTTCATTTTAGTTTTGAAATGTTAATTTTAATCTTTATAATTTTAAAAATGGACCATTTTTATTTCTATCTTATTCATTGTGATCAAAATTTTAACATTTCATACACTAAATTTTTAAATTTTTGTTAAACAGTTTTCATATATAAAATAGTGACATAAATTGTCACTTTCAAAGAGTACATGAATTATAATGGATGTTTTGAGATTACCAAGAATAAAATGAAAAAGAAGTTAAAAGTATAGAGGTGAAAATTGATATTTTAAAAGTATATATTATATAATTTTAATACTTTTGGTACATGTACTTTCGTCTTTTATTTATTTTTTATATATATATATATATATTTTCATGGTGTAATTTTGGTTTTTTTTTTTTTTGCTTTAGTTCATTTTTGTCTATGTTCATGTTTTGTCAAGTTCATAAATCATTTTAAACTATTTTCAAATTTCAAGAATAAAACAGACACTCCCTCCAAATTTATGGATTAAAAATGCATTTCCTCTTGTCTTATAGATTAGTATTTTAACATATAACATCCATGTAATAATTTTTTTAAGATGTATGGAGCAATGTTGGAGCAGCATTATTGAAAAAACAAACAAACATTTAATACAAATACCTCCATTTTTTCATCAACTATATTGTTATTAATGTTTATGTAGCATAGAAACTAGATAAATAATATACCAATGAGATTTTGGAGACCTATTATTATTATTATTATTTTTAGAGTACAAGAGTTAAATAGACATCATTCTAAAAAAGTAGAGATCAAAACTTATAATTTAATCTTAATGTTATTAGAAACTATACAGTATCTACCTATCATTTCAATAATTCAATCTCTAGATTTACCAAACTAAAAATCAAAAAACAAAAAACTCAAATGATGTATTTTAGTGAACCAACTTTAAAATTACTCACGACCTAGAGCGTTTTACAAAAACCATTAACTCAATTCGCTGTAGTTTGGATATTATGGAGATTCTTAATAATGGTTCATCTCCAGCTCCTTAATTGAACCATAATTGTATTGATTATTAAATGAAAGAAGTCACGTCACATGATGGAATATGGGCTCATCTCTCTTTGCAATGTTAGCTCCAAAACCATTTCCAAAGTCCTTGTTAATTGGATGAAGCAAATCCATAATAATATTATTAGCCCAAATCAAAGTGCCTTCATTCTTGGCGGGTGTAATGTGGATAACGCTATTTTGGATTTTGAATATATTCCTACTCTTAAAATAAAAAATATGGATGCATTGGTGGGGCAACACTTAAACACGAGTACAACCACTGTTATGGGAAGAGAAAAGGAGAACGGACCAAGTGACGGGGCCGAAGGAAACCCGAGAGAAAGCACGAACCAGGAAAGGGGGTCAGCATCCGACGACCCAAGCCGACCCCCAACTAACCAGTAGTTCTCGGCCGGAGCGGTTCATCCCGACCGTTTCGCAGTCCCACCCGAATTGTCTCGCCTTGATTCTCGATTTGACCTAAAGCCCACAACGAAGTGAGCGGGCCCAGATGTATGAGGATTCGACTGAGGTAAACCCTAAAGAGATGAGAACTCAACTTCTATAAATAGAAAGGTGAGCCAAACCCTAAAGGTATGCAAAAACACCCTACTTTTTACACTCGGACTACTCTGATACTAACTTAAGCACGGAGTCCGTCTCGCAAGAGCCACACCGGTCTTAGTGCTATTCTATTTTGTAGGTATCATCGGTTCCTTTATTTTAGAAGATTGGTGCGAATTTGGTGAGACCCTAGGAGGCCACATTTCTGCATCAACAATTAACGCGCCGTCTGTGGGGACGATTAAGATCAAAAGGTCAAGGCAATCAACGAATTGACCGAGCACTGCTCGGATCCGAGAAGGTCTAGGGTGAAGCGAATCAACAAAATCCATGACAGATCCTGAGAGAAACAAATCAACATGAATTCTGGAAATAGACCACAACATGCTAGCAACGAACGTCATACGACTGGGAGGCTGCCCTCACCCAAGACAGCCGAAGGTGAAACAAGTCTACAACTTCCCGAGTAGGCCCTGGGTGATACAAGGCGACAGATTCTAGGGCAAAAAGAGCAACAGACAGAAATTCTTGAATGACAGGAGAACAAATGGGCTACTTTAGAAAAGAAGATTACAGGAGTGAACTGAAACATATCTCTCATTCTTGAGAGACTTGAGCAACAAGAAGAGAGACCACCAATACTTGTACGAGATCTACAAAAGGGCAAAGCTCCCGCAAGTGGAGACGCAAAGGAGTCGACGAACAGTCCATTGACACAGAGTAAATTGGTAATTGGAGGAAACGACAAACCACAGAATTATACTTTCTGTCAACAGGAAACCCGACCAAGCCTCAAGAACACCACGCTCCATAAAGAAAAATCATTTAGTCAACATGAGCATACAGAAAGATCACAGAAAGGCAGTAAGAAACGAAAGAACAGAAGATACAATCTTGAGGAGATTATAGAGCAATCAGATTCCCCATTTGTGGAAGAAATAATGAGAGAAAAGATTCCTCCAAAGTTCAAACTTCTTACCATAAAGCAATACGGCGGCTCAACAGATCCTTTTGACCATTTGGACGCATATAGAGAATGGATGGACCTCTAGGGATGACAGAAGCAATCAAGTGCACAGTGTTCTCTTTCACGTTAACTGGCACCGCTCTTGTCTAGTTTCGACAGTTAAGAAGAAAATCAATCTTCTCCTTCAAAAAACTGGCTGGAGCATTTGTCAGGCAATTTGCTGGATAGCAGAATAGGAGCCAACCTGTGACTTACCTCCTGATCATAAAGCAAGAATCAACTAAGAGCCTCAGAGAATATATGGCTCGCTTCAACGAGGAAAGACTACTAGTCAAAGATCTCACCGACAGAATATCACTACTCGCTTTCCTATCTGGCATAAGAGATAAAGAGCTATCATTCTCTTTTAAAAAGAGGGCTCCAACAACCTTCTCAGAAGCATTGGCTCGAGCTAAAAAATTATGAGCGCAGAGGAACTACTCCATTCAAAATGGGATCTTGACAAAACTCAAGACCAGTTGTATCAACGAGACCCTTTGGAGAAATATACTCATCCAAGCAAGAATCAGAAGAGAGCAGTGAGTATTGCAGGGATGCTACTACACCATCTCAAAATGACGCATAACAGCCTGATCACATAGGACAATATTTCTCTCCTTTTTGCTTGGTTAATAGTTTAGGCTTAAATTTTTTATAATTGCTTATATAGGTTATCGTTTACTTCATTTCAAATTACATTTGGCCTATATTTCAGAAAATTTCTACTTGTTTTTGGTTCTAGCATGTAAAGTTTAATTAATTCTTTACTACTTGAGTCTTTATCTTTATTCTAAATAAAAACTTCTCAAGTGGGGGCATGGGTAGGTTAATCAATAGCTGGTCAAGGAACTCAAACTGGCACAAACCTAGAAGCAGGCCAATAAGCTAAAAGTCAGTCAGTGAAACTGGGGAAGAGAATCCCAAAGATGCTGAAAAAAGCATGTGTACATGCCCAGCAAGGTTGAAACGAAAAGCATGTAAGTCAAACCAACCAAACCAATCAAGGAAACTCAGGGTATAAAACCATTTGGCAAAAGCCAAAATAGGTTAGAAACCCAAAGGTGTTGATTAAACTTAGGGTAAAAAACTGGTAGAAGCCAAATAGGTTAGAAACCCAAGGGTTTCGACTAAACTCAAGGTATAAAACCATTGACGAAAGCCAAATAGGTTAGAAACCTAAGAGTAAACCCTGGGGTATAAAACCAAGGACAAAAGCCAAACAGGTTAGAAACCCAAGGATGGTATCGCTGGCCCAGCTAAAAGTTAGATCCCAAGGCTAAAATCTAACGGTTAAAACTAAACGTGTAACAGAGCCCATAAAACTTGATTGCAGCCAAATATGTAGAAATAGTATGGGTCTAAGAAGACCAGCCCATGAAACGACAACTGACAACGACATAAGGGTATCAACTGGACTCAAGGTATAAAACCATTGGCAAAAGCCAAATAGGTTAGAAACCCAAGAGTAAACCCTGGAGTATAAAACCATGGGCAAAAGGCCAAACAGGTTAGAAACCCAATAGTGATACCGCTAGCCCAGTTAAAAGGTAGATCCCAAGGCAAAAATCTGACGATTAAAACTAAGACTAACCGTATGGTAGAGACCAAGAGACTTGATTACAGTTAACAGCAACAAAAGAGAATAGGGGCTAGGAAAGTTAGCCCATAGAGACGACAACCAACAGCGACTAAAAATAGGGCTATTCCACAAAAATAGCCATCAAGTCAGATAACAAATACTCCCAATATAGAAGTTTTAGCATGTTTTTGCCTTATATTTTAAGAGTGGGGGTTACTGTTATGGGAAAAGAAAAGAAGAACGAACCAAGTGATAGGGGCTAAGGAAACCCGAGAGAAAACACGAACTACAAAAGGGGCAGGCACCCGACGACCCAAGCCAACCCCCGATCGACCAGGCCGCGGTGCCGAAACCAAACAGTTCTCAGCCCCCCGACCGAGAATTGTAGCGGTTCATCCCGATCGTTTCGCGGTCCCACCCGAATTGTCTCGTCTTGATTCTCGATTCGACCTAATGTATGAGGATTCGACTGGGGTAAACCCTAAAGAGATGATAATTCCACTTCTATAAATAGAAGAGTGAGCCAAACCCTATAGGTATGCAAAAACACCCTACTCTCTACACTCGACTACTCTGATACTAACTTAAGCATCGGAGCCCGTGTGGCAAGAGCCACACCGATTTTAGTGCTATTCTATTTTGCAGGTCTCATCGGTCCTTTTATTCTAGAAGATTGGTGCGAATTTGGTGAGATCCCAATAGGCCAAATTTCTATATCAA